GATTAACACATCGCTAGGCCCTTTCCATTAACGTTTTGCCCCTTGCATTTGATGTAATCAGTTATTCAGTTAGGAGGGGGTAGTTTGGTTAAGTATTCACAAGTGACAAGACTGAGGCAAGATTTGAGCGCTTTTCGAGTTTATTTCGCGTGTCGAGAATAACTTAGTCAAGCCCAGTTAAACACGACTGAATTCAAGCAACTAGTTCATAAAAACGTGAAAGCATTATGGGCCAAATTGTCGAACAATACTTACTTGGCAAACGACTGTAATTAGTGGGAATGAACGCTAATTTAAGAACGGCACACGCAACATCAGAAATTTAGTAAAACTGTTCACAATCTATAGTGTTGTTATGTGTGATACTGCATGTATATAAGTTTTTATTTGTATATTGGCACATATAATGATAAATAAATATTTTCGTATTTATATTTTGTATGTGTGATGTTCTACATCAGGACGAACGATGGAATATAAATGTTAGAGAAAGATACAATAGTTTTAAAGAAATATACGGTTTCCTTGTACTTTTTTTCTATTGAATGTCATATTGTTGTTATCATCAAATATTGTAATATAGGCCTTAATAGAATAGGCCTACACATATTATTATTATTTATTTATCACTCAACAACGTGAGACGCCATTTTCAAAGACAGAAGTGATTATCTAAAGTCTCATTATAAAGCTAATAAGGGATCCTGTCTCTTATACACATCTAGATGTGTATAAGAGACAGGTATATATACAGTACATAAGCATTATATAAAGTGCGTTTGTATTACACATAGTCCTATATGCAGTAATGTATTTCTTTTTATGGTACAGTTATTTGAATTACTGTTAATTTTTCAAGCAACATGTTACCTCAATTGAATTGATGTTGATATTACTTCTGTTTCTATCAAGTCTATTGGGTTTTGAAAAAAAAAATGTTATTAGGATATTTCACATCAAAACCCAATGATCTATGAACTGAAGAGTGTGCCAATGCAACGCATACACCCAGTAGTTTAATGATCCTCTAATTTTAGAGCATATATAATGACGATAGGTGGTTGACCTTCGTAAGTTGGAAAAACAAATCACTTTTTTTTTGTATTTCAATTAATATCGAATTGAATTTGGCGCCTGTGAAATGGGATGCTCAGTCCTAATCACGTTTTATTTGCAATCCAATTACGTATCTAGGCTAAGAATACAAATAAATACCAGCTTAAACCACTGCACGTGGCACCTCGTACTTTCGTATTCAATTTTTAAAAGTATATTTACTAATGTTATAATTACGCTCATTAGTAACTTTAAAGTAGCGTTGTTTTTCAGCCCATAACGTCATAAATAACTCAGATCCTGCACTTATTCTGTTTTTAGTGTTGGAATCAAATATTATGCATTTTCTTTACGGGGATCCGATGATTAACTACACGTATCTTCAGCGATACGCCTGCATTAGCTGCTGTAAACGCAATGTACACGCGATTATTACGTCAGATGATTTCTAAAGCCCCTTTAAACTGAGCCTATCTCCTCACGTTATCTGCACTTCAAGATTCATACACAATATTGCCAGAAAAGAAAGGGTCTTTGGAACATTTTAACATATGTTTCAACTATTGATAACCAACGAAGCCTGACCTACACTTTTATATAATAATGGTTAATGTTATTTAGTATAGTGTAGTATTTTGTAAGAATAGAAGAAAACTGCTTACTTTCATTGGCACGTGTACATATATGACAATATTTGGAGTCAGGGGAAGTTTAACTTCATAACGAAATATGATGGACAGGTATTACAACAAAGCATTTTGAAAAGATACCGTAACTAATGATTGGCAGATTTATGTAAGAATGAATCGATAGAACAACAGTGAAACTCTGACATTGTGGTGAGATGCTTTTCCTTCCAATTTTGGTTCGAATCTTGTAAATTGCAAGACATTTTTTTTCGTCTAAAACAACCGTTACGTTAAGAGAAATAGTGTAAGTGTATATGTAATTTTGAAAAACAATAAAATACAGTGATTACTGCATGAATAACAAAACGATTATCTACAAACGATAAAGGTTAAAGGTTAAAGTTTATTCATTTATAACCATTAATAATCTTAAACCAAATTACCTCCTTAAAGTATGGCACCATCTTACTAATATTTTTATGAACTTTCGCATTTTTCTGAATTCTATAAATTTAGGCCTACTATAAATTTTATGTTATCGCAACTTGGTACAAGGTGAAAACAGACAACAAGATGCTTTATCAATCAACCATTATTTAATTTGGAGTTAAAAATCCGTATATATAGGCCTAAATATTATACCTATAGGAGATGATTACTCACTACACTTTACCTCTCATAATTCGGTAAAAAAAAAACGAGGTAACACGAGTCCTACAATGCTTTACTCTTGGTACTTTGGAATTGACTCATTGAATAACCGTCGTAATTGGAAGTTCGTTTAAATTATTTGATTATATATTACGGATGATTGGCTACAGCATTCTAACTATATAATTTATTATATTACACTGTAACTTATATGATATACGTAGCCTTAATATTGCTTTTAAGTTTAATTTTCATGTGTCACAATACTATGCTATTTTAACAATTTCCAATCATGTGGAACATCCCATTGGTAGATATCTGATGTCTCAGTATTACTGAATTTCTATTTAATCGGCAAAGAAAGAACAATTGTTAATAGGCCTACGTTAAAACAACGTTTTATAAGGGTTTTTCATGAGCGTTTATCCCTTTGACGTGCGCTCAGAGCACATCATAAATATGACGCATTTGAAATGCAGAAAAGCGAATGACGACGAAGAGTGATGAAGAAGAACTTTTTCTAATGGTGGCGTACAGGAGCTCTCCATTTTAAACCATCGGTACACATAGGGCCTATTACGAAATTCAACCAGATGTACGCTGTTCATGTATTATGCATTTCATAGGTCTACATAGATTAACACATCGCTAGGCCCTTTCCATTAACGTTTTGCCCCTTGCATTTGATGTAATCAGTTATTCAGTTAGGAGGGGGTAGTTTGGTTAAGTATTCACAAGTGACAAGACTGAGGCAAGATTTGAGCGCTTTTCGAGTTTATTTCGCGTGTCGAGAATAACTTAGTCAAGCCCAGTTAAACACGACTGAATTCAAGCAACTAGTTCATAAAAACGTGAAAGCATTATGGGCCAAATTGTCGAACAATACTTACTTGGCAAACGACTGTAATTAGTGGGAATGAACGCTAATTTAAGAACGGCACACGCAACATCAGAAATTTAGTAAAACTGTTCACAATCTACCGAATTAGGTTGTTATGTGTGATACTGCATGTATATAAGTTTTTATTTGTATATTGGCACATATAATGATAAATAAATATTTTCGTATTTATATTTTGTATGTGTGATGTTCTACACCAGGACGAACGATGTAATATAAATGTTAGAGAAAGATACAATAGTTTTAAAGAAATATACGGTTTCCTTGTACTTTTTTTCTATTGAATGTCATATTGTTGTTATCATCAAATATTGTCATATAGGCTTTTAATAGAATAGGCCTACACATATTATTATTTATAACGTGAGACGCCATTTTCAAAGACAGAAGTGATTATCTAAGTCTCATTATAAAGCTAGTAAGGGATCAGTGAAGCTGTTCTATTCGTAAAATAAGAGGCGAACAACTTTCATTTCATTTTATGTCTGACAACAAATAGGCATACATGAACAAGAGCAAATTCCAAGGCCGGCACATACAAAAAAAACCCCCACAAAAACCGAAACAAATGTGTTGAGTGTTTCTCCGCGTCAAAAAACGATACAGTAAAAATTAATCACAAAAATTGTAGCTTTTCTCTTGTATATAAATGTATTAAGCACTATAACATTAGTAGGCCTATTAGTGTATATGCATGATGATTGAAATAATTCATCTGTTTACATTAGGTATTTGATTTGGAATTCCTTTTAAAGAAGACCTAAATTGCTTACTGATGACGCTGACTGGTAGCCAGCGAAACTGTTTACGGTTAAAAAGTAAGCAATTCAGGTTTTATTTAGAAGGAATTTCAAATCAAATATATTCATAATGCTTGCTGGTTTATCATTTTGATTTAGATTCAATTAGAATATGGTAAGTATATCTTTTTAAACAATGGGAATATATTTGTTACATGTAATTATAAAAATTATTTTAAAAATTCTTAATAACTACAGTACAGTAACCCATACAACCTCATTAATTGAAAAATATCTCATTTAATAACATGAGATTTGTTAGTAGGTTTGTTTACTATAATGGTACTATAAGATCAACCCTCTTGGGTTAATCTGCCTCTTTTTGAACTGACAATTTAATTGAATGCAGTCTCCCTTAATTTGATGATAGGCCGGCCTCTATTTTTATACTTTTATTTATTGGTATATTTTGTGTCTTAATGTTTTTGTATGTCAACTCATTTAGCCTTGCGTGTTCCCAGTTTTGGGACACTGTTCTGGGCTCTTTATTTGT